GATGGTCGGGGAGTGGATCTGGTGTGGTTGTGGCCGTGAAGGGTCAGGAGAGAGGCTGTCTGCCTCCGCTGCCCTGGGGCCCTGTCTGCCTGGGGGCAGCTGCAGTCAGCACATGGGAGCGGCCCGGTCAGAACCTCTAACTCTCTCTGCCTCGTGTCTCCATTCCCAGGGCCGGGGTTCAAGTGATGCTTCAACTTGGCTAGGCTCAGGGTCCCACGGCTCTGGCCAAACACTAGCCTCCTTGCTGTTCGGCCCTGTAATGTCATGTAATATAATGGCTTTCCAGAAGGTCACCCCCAGTCCATAATGTCCTGTAATTGAAAGCCATCGTGCAATGTAATCTAGGAATGAAGTGAAGGCCAGGCCATCCCCCTCCATAAGGTCATCGAATGTAATGCATCCATCAACTGAAAGGAGCTTTCAGGCTACAGATAGAGGTCGGGTGGTATGCACGCTCTCCTTTAGGCTCACTATGTGCTAGCCGCTCACTCGTGTTTGAGTGCGGTGATAGAATGTCAACCCAAACAAACAGAGCCCAACACCGCCCAGGGAGCATCAGCTACTGAAGAGGAGGTAGAGGCATGGTGGGCCTCCTGCCCTGCTGGTGGGGATACAAAATTCCACAGGGAACAGTGGGGTGGGAGTAGGGGACCCCTGGATGCTAAAGCCACACTCACGGAAAGATGGCCGCTGCGGAGGGAATCCAATGGCTGCTATGGAAGCAGGTTGACCACATGACCCAGCCATCTATCCCAGTCCTGGGCACATATCCCCAACCACACTAAAAGCAGGAACGCAAGCAGGAAGGTGGACACTAATGTCCCTCGCAGCACTTTGCTTGTATCTGGAGCCACCTTTTTGCTGGTGGTGGTGGTGGTGGTGCCTCTGTGTGTGCTTGGTGGGTGGCTCTGCCGTGTACAAAGGCCCCAAGCAGGGAGTGACGGGCTGCTATGTGTTGCTAAGTACATGCAGCGTGCGGTGAGCCTTACGGGAAAACACACCTATGCGATAAGTACCATTCAGGCCTGAGCCATAGCTCTGTTG